TACAATTACATGAGCAAGGTAATGAGTGTATTTCTTTTTTTGTGTGTATGAGAATACTGTACAGAGATGAGTATATTTCTTATCAAGCATTGTTGCCTCCTCCTTTGTTTTTCCCCTGCCATCCCTGCCCTCCCATCTCCACAACTACACTCCCCCCAAGATTTTTTGAGTTTTGAGCACCTGATAAATTGAAATTAGAAGTTTCAGTTTCAAGATTTAAAAAGAGAGAGACTTATGTTTAAATTCTGAAAATCTTTTCTCTCCCTCCCTCCCTTCTTCCCTCCCTCCTTCCCTCTCTCCTTCCCTTCCCTTCCCTTCCCTTCCCTTTCCCTTCCTTCCTTCCTTCCTTCCTTCCTTCCTTCCTTCCTTCCTTCCTTCCTTCCTTCCTTCCTTCTTTCCTTCCTCCTCTCCTTCCTTCCTCCTTTCCTTCCTTCTTCTTTCCTTTCTGTTGTACTGGGGTTTAACCTCAGAGTCTCAAGCTCACCCAGCAGCTGCTCTAGCATTTTTGGTGTTGTTGTTGTTGGTGGTGGTGGTGGTCATGGGGCTTGAACTCTGGGCCTGGGCACTGTCCTTCAGCTCTTCAGCTCAAGGCTAGCGCTCTACCACTTGAGCCACAGCGACACTTCTGGTTTTCTGAGTGGTTTATTGGAGATAAGAATCTCATGGAGGGTGCTGGGAAGGTGGCTCAGTGGTAGAGCGCTTGCCTTGCATGCCTGAGGCCCTGGGTTCCATTCCTCAGCACCACATAAGCAAAAAGAAAAAGGCCAGAAGTGGCGCTGTGGCTCAAGTGGTAGAGTGCTAGCCTTGAGCTGAAAAGCTGAGGGACAGCACCCAGGCCCAGAGTTCAGGCCCCACAAATGGACCCCCTCCCCCCAAAAAAAGAAAGAGTCTCTCGGACTTTTCTGCCTGGGCTGGCTTTGAACCGTGATCCTCAGATCTCAGCCTCCTGAGTAGCTAGGGTTACAGGTGTGAGCCACTGGCACCCGGCCTGCTCTAGCATTTAAGCCATGCCTGCAGCGTATTTTTAATTTTTTTTCCACATTGTACTGACTGGGGCCTCAAGCTATCGTCTTCTTAACCCACTTCCATGTAGCAAGGTTCCCAGGCCGCTTGCCACACACCCACTGCTTCTTTTCATCTTTATTGTTTATTTTTACTTATAATTTGTATGTGTTCTGTTTTTATTACAACATGTTTCATGTGTTCATAAGTTTGTTCGCAAAACAACAAGTTAAGTGAAACACAGTGACTTTGTTATTTCCGTCTGGTTTTTGTTTGCTTGTCTTGGCAGGTGTCCAGGCTCTGTTTCAACAGAGTTAATTTGCTCCATTGTTTTTTGTTTTATTTTTAATTCCATACGTTAGCACCTGTGAGAAAATGCAGCTTTCTTTGAGTTGAAGGCAATGTAGAAGATCCAGAATTGTGACTCCAAGAAGTTTTAGGACTCAACTAATTGGTCAATATATCGTACATTTTCCTTATTATTTTATTATTATTAATATTATTATTTTAGTAGCACTGGGCAATGAGCTTCAGGGTCTTGTGCTTGCTAGACAGTTGCTCTACCCTTTGAGCCAGCCCATCAGACCTTTTGCTTTTAGGAGTTTCTTTTGTTTTTGTTTTTTGATCAGGTTTCTTGCTGTTGCTAGATGAAGGCTTAGATAGCAATCCGCCTACCTCTGCTTCCCGAGTAGCTGGGATTACAGGTGTGCATCTGCTACATTTTCTCTTTATGGGACTCATCAGGGCGGGAATGTGTTACAACTAAGTCTGAAATGGTTCTTTCCATAAGTATAAAATACAAATTCTAGCTGCTGACTGAAGGAGGCTGGTACCTGGAGGATCACAGTTCGATGCTAGCCTAGACTGAAAAGGCTGGGGAACTCCGTCTCTAATGAACCACTCAGAAGCCAGAAGTGGGGCTGTGGCTCAAGTGGTAGGGACCAGTCTTGAGCAAAAAAGCTCAGAGATAGTGCCCAGAACAAATGTAAGCCCTGGTACTGGCACACGCACACACACACACACACACACACATCAGAATTGTAGGGCCAGGCAAACATCAGAGAGGTCATTTTGCAGAAGAGATGATGAAGATAAGCAGAAGGAATCAGTGCGTAGGACACGTCCCAGTAAAGAACAGAAAGACACACACACACACACACACACACACACACACACACACGGATCACCAGAAGTCCTGGAGCACCGACAACCCTGTCATCTTCTAGTTGCAGATGGAAGCATCCAAGAGGCCAGGCAAGATGGCACCTCAGCTTGGAAGGTGAGAAAAGACAAAGTGGGGGTGTCTAGCTTCCTCTCCCGCCATAGGCTTCCCAACCCCCACTTCCCCAACCCAACCCACCATGCGGCCGCCCCCACCTCTGTCCCCTTCTCCCAGGTCAACACAAGCTTTCTCTTAACCCCTGTGCCTGTCACTCACGGTACCACAGCCCTGCCAGGCACAGCTGTCCAAGTTGGGCACTGCATAAGGCTGCCACATGGATGTGGTAGACATCACAGATCTATACCCATAATTTCTGACAGATGGCAGTGAACTATCTTGGGAGAATTGACATCATTTTTTTTAATCATCTGTACAAAGCCGCCATACGGTGTGTCAGGGCGCCTGCCGTCACCACTGCCTGGAATACCGTCCTCCTAATTCTTCAAGCCAGCTCCAGTTCCACCTTTCAAGCTAAGATAGATAGATAGATAGAGATCTAGGGAGAGAGAATATTTGTAGTTGTGGGACTAATTGAAGGAATTAGTAGGAAAGGGAAGGAAAAGAGAATGTTAGAAGGGTGAACAGTACTGAAATATGTTATACCAATGAAGATGGAAAAACAAAACTTGCTAGGAGCTGTTGACTAATAAGAAGTGGCAGCATGGGGACAGGGAGAGGGAGCGAGGGTGGAGCAGATCAAACAATGTCTGTGGACACATGCAGGTGTCAAACACTGCCTGGAAAACCCCTTTAAACAATTAATGTGCTTAATGAATGACAGGCAGGGTGCAGGTGGCTCACCTCTGTAATCCTAGCTACTCCGGAGGCTGAGATCTGAGGATCTTGGCTAGAGGCCAGACTGGTCAGATAAAACTGAAAGACTCTTATCTCCAGTGAACCAGTAAAGAGCCCAAAGTGGACACACACACACACACACACACACACACACACACACACACACACACACACACGGGAGCTGGAAAATACTTTCTTCTCCAGTCCAGAAAGACATTCTCAGCCACGCCCTTTAGCCAGGCTAGTCTGCCAGGATTAAAGGTTACTATCAATGCTCACAGTGGGGTTGAGTCTGTAACGTCTGGAGGAATAGGAAACCTGGAAGGGAGGCACTGAATTGGCTACACAAAAGCAGTGCTCTTTTCCACGTTTTTTCCAGAAATCAGGGCCTGGAGGAGACGCTCCGCTGGAGTCCGGTCGGCTAGGTAAAACACTCATCACCTTAATGCCAGCAGCAGCTCTGGCCAGCCTGAAATTGTGTTTGATCTATTCCTAGGATTTCTTCCTGCCTGTGGCCACTGAGGCTGAATTTCTACTTCCTGGACAGTTGTGAAGCGTGATTCACAAATCAATGCACTCGAGCGCAACCTAGTAAATCCACGTCAATAGAATTATTAAGTCCCTACCAGACAAGGTGTTGTGTGTCATAAGCAAACAAACCCAGGATGGTGTTATGCCCAGATGAGTGGAAACAGAGGAGCTGCAAGTGAAGAAATTGAAGGTCCTTTATTACAGCCAGCGATGGCAGAGAGTCGCTATTGCCCAACAAAGATCGCTCAGCCCTGAGGGGGAGTTAAGTGGGGTTTTTAAAGGCAGACAATGAAAAATTTACATATGTTTAGTTAGTACCAGGGAGATTAGCCGCTGGGGACCGAGGCCTGTATCTCTTAATTTAAACAAAAGTGGCAGGTGAGGGGTTCAAGACCTAGGTGAGTGGTAGAAAGGACTTTAACAATTAGCCCTGGGAAGTGGGAGGGAGGGGCTGGTATGTTTACTCTTTAACTCCAGATTTCCCTTTCTCCTGAAACTCTGCCTCACCCTTTGCTGAAGACCTGGCTGGGAAGAGGTGCACGCTAGGAACTTCATTAGGGCTGGGGGAGGCATTTCAGTGGCACACAAGGTGACGGGTGAGATGTGGAAAACCCCATTTGGTGACCGTGAAGACTCCAGGGTCAGATCCCCTGGCTCCTGGGCTCCACTTGCCCGCTGTGTCACCTCGGGTCACGTCCCCCCTCTCTGAGCCTCAAGTTAAATAAGAATCCGAAAGACATGCTAAGACAGTGTGGATACAGATCTTTGCTGTATTTATCTGTTGATACATGCATCTATCTGTACATAAATATATAGATATAGATATCTATATTAATATCTATCTGTCTGTCTGTCTGTGTGTTACTGGGATTTTAAATTTAGGACCTGGTATTTGCTAGGCAAGCCACTGGAGTCCCGCCCTCACCACTGACCACGCCCCCACCGCGCGAACCACGCCTTTCACACCTGGCCACGCCCCCACCTGCAGCCAAGCTCCTGCCGGCTTCGCCACGCCCCCACCACGAGGGCCCTGCCATTCAAGCCACGCCCCCTACACCTTGAGCCACGCCCCCACCTTGATTGCTCCTTGTTACCTTTCAGGTAGAGGCTGGCGCTCCTGCCTGTCCTGTCCTCAGACTTCAGTCCTCCCATCTCTGCCTCCCCTGAACCGTTGGGGTGACAGGTTGGCATCACACCAGGCACGTCTGCAAGATGGAGTCTCCAGTAGCTAGGCATGCTCTCTTATCATGAAGACTGAGGACACCCCACCGAAGGGATTGCAGCACACACACACACACACACACACACACACACATATACACACAATTCACAGACCCTGGACACTTTTATTTTTGGCTTTAGGAACTTTTATTTGCATAGGTAAGACAAGGGCCTGGGGCCTGGGGAAGGTCTGGGGCAGGGGAGCAGGGCACATGAGGGTTGGGGGGGGCTCACTTCGGGGGTTCAGCAGCCAGCACGGGGAAGCAGCCTTCACGGTGCCACTGCCGGTCCCGCAGGCGACGCACGGCCTGCATCTGCGGCTGGAAGGCGCCCCACTCGTTCCAGTGCCGGAAGTCCCCGGGCTCTAGCAGGTACTGGTATCCACGGTAACCCGGGTACTGGTAGCCCACCCAGCTGCAGGGAGAGGAAGGACAGTGTGGAGGCAGCCAACCCCACTTCACCACCCCAGAGACCCTGGGCCTTTAGTCCCTGGGCCTGGGTCCCACAGAGCTGGATGGCTTAGGGACCTGAACCCACATTCCCAACCAACATAGAGCTGCTGAGCTCAGGGAGAAAGATGGGAGGAGGGAGCCTGTGTCCCAGCCCATTTCCTGTGTACTCAAGGGAAGCTGTGTGGCCCCTGGTGAGCTCCCATCTAGTGTCAGATCTGCCTGAGCTCTGCCACTGATGAGCTATGGTGGTGCAGGTAGCAGCAGATGCAGGGACATGAGGAGGTGTGTTACTTCATTGGTTTCCTTCAAATGGTTAATACTATATTGTGTGTGACCATCAAAGATTCATTGGAAAGATCTTTCCAGGTCCTTCTCAGACTCCCTGGTTAGCTTTCAAAACCTGGGTTACATTTTGGCCTCCTAGGGGAAGTCTCTGTTTGTATCCCAGCCACCACACACAGGTCAGGAAGCAGGGCCCCAAATTTCAGAGAAGAGCACAGAGCGAGAAAAAGACCAAGGCCCTGAGAGTTTTACAGAACCTCGCACAGAATCTGCAGGTGTAACTAGGAACCTAACTCTTGTCCAGACACCAGGGAGTCTCTGGACTGGGTGTTTGGAGGCAGGAGGTAGGTAAAAGTAGCTTCCTTTGGCACCTGTCTGGCCCCTGATCCTGGGGCCTCTGCATGGGAAGTCTGAACTCCTAGGAGTTGAATGGCTGCTTTTTAGAAGAATCTCATCTGCCCATTGTTCTGCCAGCAATACTGAGGCCCAGAGAGGTGGATGTGCAGGTCACCCAGGCTCCCTCCCCAGCCTATCAGTAGCAGAGTGGAGGACCCTCTCCCGACCACAGAATCAGTCACAGAAGTCCCTACGTTCATCCTACCTGCATTCACACATCTGCTCTACCGTGACTTGATGATCACTTCCATCCCATTCTGGCTGAGCAGTAATCTACCGACTTTGTTAGAACAACCAACAGCTGGATTTGCTGATGCGACGTTTGTCAGAGTCTGACTACAGCCCAGAAGCTTGAGGCTTTCTTGAAACAAACCTTAGGAGCCGGAGCCAACTGGCCCTGGGGGCTTTGGCGAGCAGCCTTGGCATCCCATCGGGAGGGGGAGGGTACTTACGTTCCGCTGGAGACCCGCACGCTGCCCACACGGTCACAGAAGCCGTACACCCAGAGGCTGGGCACATCGTCCTCGTGGACTTCCATGGTGTTGCCCTTGAAGTTGTCACGCTCAAACAGGCAGATCCGGTGCTCATGGGCATCCTGGGGAGGCACCGGAAGGTCAGGCTCAGGGAACACAGGGAGAAGCAGGGAGGAGGGATGCAGAGGGATCTCTGGGAACCAAGGGAGGGGGGAATCTGAACCTGCACCGACCACTAGGGGGCTCTTCCCGGATGGATGATAGCAACCTCGTCATCATGGGGGTATTCTGCAGGTAGACTGAGTCAGGCGGTACTGTCACTGAGCTGGATGTCAGCTATGCACCAAGCGTTCAGATGCATTCTTATGACCGTTGTGATGGTGATAGCCAGGGCCACAGAGGCACAGAGAATGTCAGACTAGTTTGTCGACAGCACACAGCTGGCAAAAGGCAGAAACTTTCACAGACAGGTCATTCCTAGGTCCAATCAACGTTTCTGAGTCTAAGACTGCTTATTCTGGGGTGTGTGTGTGTGTGTGTGTGTGTGTGTGTGTGTGTGTGTGTGTGTGTGTGTGTGTGTGTGTGTGTGTGTATAGCAGCACACATGCTGCTACTAGGGCTTAAACTCAGGGCCTGGAGCTTTTTCACTCAAGGCTAGGGCTCCAGCCTTTGGAATAAGAGTTGCACAGACTTCTCAAAACTGGAATGGTTTTAAGCCATGATCTTCAGATCCCAGCCTCCTGAGTAGCTGAGATTACAAGTGTGAACCACCAGAATCTGGCAATATTTCCCATTCCTTAAAATCTATTTTTTTTTTTTTTTTGCTTCAACAGTCTTATAAATAAAGCTATAAGAGTTACAAATGGGCCCTGCAGTAATGGAAGGGTCCTGGTGGAACACAGATCTGACTTCGTGTCCAGCTTCTGACCTGTATGCACTGACCCTCCCCCTCCACACCTCCCTCTGCTCCCCTAGGGAATGGGGTTACGGCTACCTCTGCCTCTTGCACAGGATCATGGGTAGTAAGTACCCAAGCTGTGGTTCAGCCAAAGCAAGGGGAAAGGCCCACCCGGGCACCTGGGCACTGGATTCAAGTCTGGCTTGCACTGAGTTTTGTTACCCTTAGTATTAGTTTTTCTTTTGTTTGTCTGTCTGTTTTGCAGAGGACTCTGGAGAGTGGAATCAGGCCCTCAGGCATTCAGGCGACCACTCTACCCTGGAGCCAGTCCCAGCTCAGCCCCGCACGTGTTTTTATTAAAGTGCCACAAAGAGGAACAGGTGAGCAGAGACAGAGTAATGCCAATGCCAACCTCCAGTCTCTGTGTCCCACAGGGCTGGGTTTGAATGCCAGGTCGCCAATGTGTGACGTGGCCTTACGCCCTTCACCCACTATTTGGAGCCTCAATTTCCCTGTTTTTAACACGAATGTTGCAACAGCCTTCTCTGACTGTGGTCAGGATTCCGTGAAAGAAAGGGAAATCGCCCGGCACAGAGCAGGCACACTATAAATGCACACGCATCATGTGACAGTCATTCACCAGCAGCAGGAGGAAGCAGGCAGAACAGGCCAACTTCCCCCTATGAAATACTCCAACAGAAGAAGGTTGACAAAGCAAGTCAGTGAGTTCTTCCAGAGAGAAGGAGGTGGGATATTTCAGTGGGGCCTTAGAAGTTGAGTAGGAGTGTGAAAGATGGAAAAGGGAGTGTATCTGTATGAATGGGCGGGGTGGGGGGGAAGGGGTGCAGGAAAGAGATTGAATAGAAAAGAAGACACAGAGGCAAAGACTGGGAGAGGGGTGTGAGGTGGGGACTAGGGGTGTGGCGAACTTTGAGCCAGGCAGTATAAAATGCTCCTGATGAGCTTGGCAGCTCCCTGGTAACCATGATAACAATACACTTACCACTGGGACGGTCTCAAGGGCCTCGTGAGGCTTAAGCCATGGTCCCGCACTGCCGGTGGGGTGGAGAGTGGAGACCAGACTCCTCATTGTGTTCTAGGAGGCCCTGCACAGGCTGGCCTCTATGGATAGACATCGACTCCCTTCCTCCTTCTTCTGTCCCTCCTTCCTCTGCTCCCTCCGCTACAGACCTGATGGCTTTTCTTCTAGCTCATCTCCAGGCCTTCTGGGTTTTCCGTCTTCAAAAACTGGGGGGGAGGCCCTGCCCCTTCCCCAGGTCAGAGCCCCAGTTCACCTCTTCTACCGCCCTAGTGAGAAGGCCCAGCCCCTCCAAGGCTGTGTGGTTCGAGATTGATTTCTGAGGTTAGGATCTGAATAGATTTATACCGTGAACCTGTGGGTGGGCAGGGGTTTCGTCTGGCCCAACAGCTGCCGCTGTCCCTCAGGCATTTAAATTCAAGGCCATCTCTCTACCACTTGAGCCACAGATCCACTCCCGGTGTTTTTTTTTTTTTGGGGGGGGGGTGTGATTCATTGGGGAAAAGAATCTCAAGGACTTCCCTGCCCCAGGCTGGCTTTGAACTGTGAGGTTCAGATCTCAACCTCCTGAGTTGCTAGGATGACAGGTATGAGCCACAGGTGCCCAGCTCAAGCCAGGCTTTTTCCCTGGAAAGATTTCCCCGCCCCCCCCCCCCAATCCTCTATACCTGGAGATGGGGCTGGAACCTAGCAGGGAGAGGGAAGGGGCTGCTCAGAAAGGATATGGGTGGCTGGGAATGTGGCTTAGTGGTAGAGTGCTTGTCTAGCATGCACAAAGCCCTGGGTTCGATGTCTCAGTACCACATACACAGAAAAAAGTCAGAAGTGGCGCTGTGGCTCAAGTGGTAGAGTGCTAGCCTTGAGCAAAAGAAGCTCAGGGACAGTGTCCAGGCCCTGAGTTCAAGCCCCAGGACTGGCAAGGAGCAAGAGGATGGACAGAGGCACCAGAACACGGGACCAGCCCTGGCTGTATGGAGACTAGCTGGAGTGGAGCTTGTACGGCAAAGATAGGGACTCTCGCCCAGCCCCAGAGGTGATGTGATCTGGGAAAAGGTTGTCCTCCCAGAATATTCCATCACATTAGAGGAGAAATAGGTACCACACAGGCTGGCACTGGCAAGTAAGATGGAGTTGCTGGTGACTTATCACCGCTTGGAACTGTGGGAAAACCATGAATGAAGTGGAGGGGGATGTCTCCACTTCTTCTGCTTGAGTCTTCTGTTTGCCCACTTAGTTAAAGATTATCGGCTGATTTACTTTGTCGGCTAGTAGCAGGACATGCCAACTGCCTTGCACCGTGTCCGCTGTCCCTGTTTTGAAATTGAGGCTGGACAAGCTTGGCGGCTCACACCTGTAATCCTAGCTGCTCAGGAGGCTGAGATCTGAGGATTGAGATTCGAAGCCAGCCCAGGCGGGAAAGGCTGTGATAATGCTAACTGTCGACGAGCCAGCAAAGCAAAGCAAAACAAAAAGAGCTGGATGTGGAGCTGTGGCCCAAGTGGTACAGTGCTAGCCTTGAAGAAAAAAAAAAAAAAAGCCCAGGGACAGCATCCAGGCCCCAAGTTCAAGTCCCAGGACTGGCTGTCTTTATTGCTGGCTCTAATAACAGAGAAGTGTAATGCCAGTCTCCCCGAGTCTCTGTGTTTCTCTTTGTCCTGGGTTCACAGTCCTGGGTGGATGACAGAGACCTCAGCGCCCCGCCCACCAGCCCCGCCCACCACAGACCACGCCCACTCACCATCCTGACTGGACGGAAGGACATGAGCCGGTCACTGCGGTAGCTGCTGGACCACGTGTCCCAGCGCGGGTACTCGCCCTTCTCCAGGACGAACATCTCCCCGCGGAAGTTGGACTGCTCGAAGGCCACCCAGCTGCAAGGACAAGGGCCAGGGGAAAGGCTGTTAGCTGATCCCCAACCCCTCCACCTTCCTGAGGCCCTGAGGACATCCGGAGAGGCCTCAGGGCGCCCCACGCTGTCTAGGTTTGACTCTGTGCTGTGTGACCACTGAGCAGTGGCTGCAACCTTTCTGAAGCTGCCGCCCCCAATTCCTCTACCTTCTGAAGTCAGTGGAGGCCTAAATGAGATAAGATGCAGACTGTGTTCACACACATTTCTGAAGTCCTATAAGGATGGTGGTAGGGCTGGGATTTGAACTCAGAACCTCAAGCCTGCTAGACTTGGTGCTCTATCACCTCCAGGCTTATTTTTGAGACTAGAGTTTCCCTTCCTGCTTAAGTACACGCCTGGATCACTGTCTGTCTAGTTCAATGGTCCCCATGTAGCTGGGGTGCCAGCCGCCAGTCACCGCATCCAGCCTCCCTTAGGAGGACTAATTAGAAATCTGAAGTCTGATGAGGGACTATGGATGCTTTTCCAGTGCCACCTGGCTAAGGCGGGGCAGTGAGTTTGTGTTTGGGGGTCCTGGGAATCTAGGGGGAGAAAGTAACTTTCACTCCATAAAGAAGAAGGCCAATGAAGGGAGCAAGAGAGGAGTCTCATCTCCCCGAGGGCTTCTGGGACCATGTTCCCCCTGAGACAGTTGGGAGAGGAGACATGTCCGCATCCCAGGAGACCTAGGTCTGGGAATGAGCCAGCCTCATTGGGTGACTCCAGAGCGGAGTCAAGTTAGCCTCGCTCTACCTGGCCTGCAGTAGAAGAGAAAAGACCACAGCAAGGCTGAGAATGTGGCTTAGTGGTAGTGCGCTTGCCTGGCATGCAGGAAGCCCTGGGTTCGATTCCTCAGTGCCACATACACAGAAAAGGCCAGAAGTGGTGCTGTGGCTCAAGTGGTAGAGTGCTAGCCTTGAGCCAAAGAAGCTCAGGGACAGTGCCCAGGCCCTGAGTTCAAGCCCCAGGACTGGCAAAAAGAAGAAAGAAAAAGAATACAACAAAGAACAGAGGAATGGATGGGTTGGCAGGTTGGATGGATGGTTAGATTGGTGGGTTGATGGGTTGATGGGGGATGGATGACGGATGGATAGGTAGCTGGGTACATTTGTGGGTAGACAGGTGGATGGGTGGTTGGATATACAGATGGCTTCTTCTGAGTCTCCTGGGAGCCGAGTCACAGTGGGCCTGGTCCTCTCTGGACATCCAACTGTGACAGGTGCCTTGATTGACACTGCCCCCTGAACTCCCCTGGGAGTTTGGCCAGATCACTGGGGCCCCATGGCCAGCTCCACAGCTGTATCCCCCCCCCCTTGTCCCCCTTCCATGCCTGGTACAAGCCGACAGGGGCCCAGCTGTGCCCCTCCCCCAAGCCCTGTTGGGAAAAGAAACAGCCGGATGTGGGCAGCGTGGGGCTGCAGGCTTGGTTTAGACGTGGGTGACTCAAACCCGGAGTATTTGTCCTCCAGCAGAAATGCAGATGGGCTCTGCCTGAGGCTAGGCCTCTCCACACCCCCCACCCCCTGCCCAGCCAGCTTAGGGGAAAGAAAGAAATGGCCTGGAGTTCCAGGGACTGGGGCCGGGGGAGAGCTGGGGGGGGGGGAGGGGGGCATAAAAGATGGTGAGGAGGTAGACAGAGGAGGCAGGGGAGAGGCTGCCTGTCTGAGACCTGACACCACCCAGGGACCTTGGCCTGAGGGCACAGGCCCTGTGGAGGTGCTGGAGGGGAAGGCCTGGGGGGTAGAGGCCGGGCTGGGGCTGTGCACTGTCTGTCTTCCCATAAGCTCAGACCCACAGCCTGGACAGCCCTCTCTCGGCATACATCATGGTACTTACCAGGTTTCCTCTATGCTAACCTTCCCCACCCCACCCCACTCCTGGTGCAGAGACTGCAGGAGCTACTTCCAGGGACTGATCTGGGATCCAAGCTTGTCTGATGACCTTTGCCCTCTGCAGAGCAGACAACCCTGGGATGGCCAGAACCCAGGCTGACCAGCCCCTAGGGGTTTGGGGTGGAGAATCAGAAGCCAAGGGGCCGGCATGGGTCCAGCCCTGGGGCAGACCGAGTACCTTGACCTCAGCTGGACAGCTTCTATGGGTGGAGGATGGAGATTCCCTCCTTCCATGGAGCCCAAGTTGGGAAGAGTCAGGGCTGCGTGAGGCCAGTGCTTGAGGCTTGCCCCTCGAAGCCTCAGTTTCCCTCTCTTTCTCTCTCTGTCAGTGCCAATTCTTGAACTCAGGGCTTAGGCACTTGTCCCTAAGCTTTTTTTTGGGGGGGGGGGGCTGGTGTTCTACCACTTGAAGCACAGCTCTACCTCGGACTTTTTTTTTGCTGGTTCATTGGAGATCAGAGTCTCACCAGGGACTTTCCTTCCCAGGGCTGGCTTCAAACCTTGGTCCTCAGATCTCAGCCTCCTGGGTAGCTGGGATGACAGGTGTGAGCTGTGGTGGCCAGCTCCTGTGTCCTACCTTCCGGCAGGACAGCTCTCCCTTGTGCCCACACAGGGCAGCACAGCAGAGCGCAGGCACGCACCTGCTGCATGCCGGGGGTGTGGGTGCTGCTGGTGATGCTGATGCTGCTGGTGCTGTCTGAGGAGTGAAGCCCCCCTCCCCACACTCACGGTCCTGAGATGACGATGAGACTCCGAACTCGGTCAAAGCCACGGTCCCCCAGATTCAGGCACTCCCCGGAAAATTCCACCCGGCGGCCCTGGAAGTTCTCTTGCTCGAAGATCACCAGCTGTGGGAGAGAAGCCCCCATATCCCAGGGAGGGGCGGGGGGAATACAGACTGAGGGAAAGGACCCAACCTGTACAACCTGACCCCCCCATCCCAAAACCAAACCAAGCAGGTCCCAAGGGTCAGTGAGGCCTGAGGGTCTCTGTCGGGTGACTTAAGATCTGCTCCGCCCTCCCTCATTAGGAATGGTGGGGGGAGGGGCATGGGCCTTTCAGATCCTGCTCTGCGTTGGTTCTTCCCGCTGAAAGCATTCTCTTCGCGGTTGCCCTCCCCCACCCCAATCTTGGAGCACCGGCCATGAAGTTATGCTCTAGGCCGTGTCAGCTTCGCCTCATATGTTACCTCCTCCTGGAAGCCTTCCAAGATTGCTCCTCCTCTACCTCTTGTGTGGAGGCTTGACTGAGTCTTTCCCTATGCCAAGTCAGCCAGAGGACAACACTCTGTGGTCACTGCAGCTGGGCTTCTGTACCCTCCCCCATGCCCGGCCCCATCATTCTCCCCTTGACCCTCCCCCCCCCAAGACTCCTCCTGTGCAGACCCTGAGCTTTGCCGCTCAGTGAACGCAGACACCCGTCTCCCTTCCAGAAGCCTCTGGTTTCTGAGCTGGGAGGAGGAGGCTCCTGAAGCCTCCACACTACATTCCCACTCCCCACAGGCCCACCGGAGAGAATCTCCTGCCGGGAGCCCCCCAGCATCAGGGAGAAGACCATCCCAGCCAAGCCCGGGCATGGTGGCACACACTCGCAGTCCCAGCTGCTCAAGCAGGAAGTGCAAGCAGGAGGATTACTGGAACCCAGAAGCTGGAGGCCAGGCGGGCCCCCTGAGCAAGACCCCATCTCAAAAAAGATGCACATAAACCAACAGAAAGACAACGAACCAACAATAAAAAGCTGGAGTTTTGAGTAGGCTGCCTAGCAAGGATAAAGCTCTGAGTTCAAACCCCAGGACCATCCAAAAGAGAAGGAAATAAAGGCCAGGTGCCTGTGGCTCAATCCTGCAAGTCTAGCTACTCAGGAGGCTGAGACATGAAGATCACAGTTCAAAGACTGCGAGGGTAGGAAAGTCCCCGTGAGACCCTCATCTCCAATTAACCACTCAAAAACCAGAAGTGGCACTGTGGCTCCAAGTGGTAGAGTGATAGCCTTGAGCACAAATTGCTCAGGGACAGTGCCCAGGCCCTGGGTTCAAGGCCCAAGGCAGACAAAAAAAGGAAAGGAAGGAAGGGAACGGGGTGGGGGGAAGGATAAAAGGAGAGAGAAGGAGGCGCCGGTGACTCACGCCTGTAATCCTAGCTACTCAGGAGGCTGCGATTCAAAGCCAGTCCAGGCAGGAAAGTCCGTGAGACTCTTATCTCCAACAAGCCACTCAGAAAACTGGAAGTGGTGCTGTGGCTCAAGTGGTAAAGCGCTAGCCTTGAGCTGAATTGCTGAGGGACAGCTCCCAGGCCCAGAGTTCAAGCCCCATGACTGACAAAAAATAAAAATCCTAGCACCAGTGGCTCACGCCTGTAATCCTAGCTACTCAGGAGGCTGAGATCTAAGGATTGCAGTTCAAAGCCAGCCTGGGCAGGAAAGTCTGTGAAACTCTGATCTCCAATAAACCACCAGAAAACCGGAAGTGGCTCAAGTGGTAGAGCACTTGCCTTGAGCTGAAGAGCTGAGGGACAGCGCTCAGGCCTAGAGTTTAAGCCCGACGACCGACAAAAAAAAAAAAAAAAAACACAAAACAGAACAAAAGAAAGGAGGGAGGGGGTGGAAGAAAGAGGGGCTGTGATTGTAGCTCAGTGGTAGAGCATTTGTCTAGCATGGTTCAAGGCATTAATCCAATTTTCGGGTATCTCCAATCAAAGCCGTCCTATCAGCTCCATCGGAAAGATCAGCGCCACATCACCGCCTTATCACTCAGATAAGGGGTGCGGTCAGCCGGACAGTGGCAGTCCATACTCGGAACTGTCACAGGAGCCCAGACCAAGGTCTCACCAAGGAGCCATTGTGGGGGCTGCTAGCTCCCAGGAGGGATGCCAGGGATCATCCAGCAAGTGACCAGAGAAAAAAGAAACGCAGAATAACCACCTACGGTATAGTCCAGTAAGTTTTTTTTTTTTTTTTTTTAAAGGATGATTTTACTGGAATGATTGGTAGAAATTAAGTCGGGCGGATCCCGAACTTGGAGGGGTGGGGGAGGGGGAGATGGCGGAAGTCTAGAACTGGGAAGGAGGAGGAGTTGAGGCCCCAGGGGAAGCTAAGAGAGTGCTTAGCCAAGCCTTGGCTTTCCTATAGACAGTGGGTTTGTGGCTGTGGATGGCCTTGTTAAAAAGTGAGTTGAGATGAACGGTTAACTACAACAATATAAATAAAAAGCTAGCTGTGCACCGGCCAGTGGGGTGAGTGAGCGTGTCATGAACCTAAGATGCCAGGTTCTTGCATCTGAACTTGCATCCTGACAGCCAAACCCCAGGGGCGATGCCAGGCTCTTCCTGGGCCTTTCTGACTTTTTTGTTGTTGGTGGTGGTTGTGGGACTTGAACTCAGGGCCTGGGCGCTGTCCCTGAGCTATTTGCTTAAGGCTAACACTCTACCACTTTGAGCCAGAATTTTTTCCGTCTGGCTTTTGAATCGTTAATTGGAGATATGAGTCACACGGGGACTTGTCTGCCTGGGCTGGATCCTGAGATCTCAGCCTCCTGAGTAGCTAGGATGACAGGCGTGAGCCACCAGAGCCTGGTGTCCTCTCAGACTTTCTTAACAGATTTTCAGAAAGGTCTGGACCCTGCTCCTTTTTTTTTATTTTCTTTTTAAGTAGTGTATGTGTGTGTGCGTGCACACATGTGCACATACAGGCACATGCACTAGTACTGGGGCTTGAATTCAGGCCCTAAAAGCAGTCCCTGAGCTTTAAAAAAAAACCAAAAACCTCAAAGCTGATGCTCTACTTCTTGAGCCACAGCTCCGCATCTGGCTTCTTGATGGTTAATTAGAGATAAGAGTTTCACAAAGCCAGGCGCCAGTGACTCACACCTGTAATCCAAACTACTCAGGAGGTTGAGATCCAAAGGATCATGGTTTGGGCAAAAAAAATAAATAAGTAAAATAGTGAGAGCTCATTGTCCATCAACAAATCTGGGATGATGGTCCAGTGTTTATTGCACACTAATGCAATGTCTGGCGAGCAGTCCCAGCTCTCTATTTAGTTCTGAGAACTGGCCCTACTTCCTCTCTGGCTGCCCTCTGATGCCCTACCATCAGTTAGAAAGCTGCAGGTAAGTGGAGAAGGTGTACATAATCTTTCCTGCCCGGCCTTATGCATCTTTTATAGAGAGGGAGCTGGGTCACTCAGAGGAGGGGGAGGACTTAGGGGGCAGACATGGGGGAGGAAGCAGAGGGCGTACCCCCCCCAGCAGCCCACGTCCTTACCCGGTAGCTCCCAGGAGGCAGGTCGCCCACTTTGGCGCTGGGCATTGGCACGGATGCTGGCACGAGGGCAGGGCCGGGGCCGGGGGCTGGTCCAGTGGGCGGGGCTCCCTTCCCCTTGGCCTCGGGCCCTGGGTTCACCGCCGCCGTGGTAGCCGAGGCCTTGGCAGGCTGAGACATGGCTCCTGCTGCAGTGGAGGTGGGTGAGGAAGCCTGAGGCCTGGGCGATTTCCGGGGTGGCCACTTCCCGCTCTTACCTGCTCCCCCTTACACACCTGCGTGCTGAGTCCCACGTCCTCCTTCACAAGCACAAGTCTTGAAATATTATGTCTCATCCCTGCCTCCTATCCGGGGTCCACCCCCCCCCAGTTCTGATGAACTCTCCTCTAGGCCTTTGCTGATGCTGTTTCCCCCCACCCCACCCCTTCCCTTTCCCCCTGGCTCTGAACTACCTCCCTTAGCTGGTCTGGGTTGGTTTGTTTGTTTCAGATGGGATCCTGACCCTTGGGGTAGCTGGGATCATGACCCGACCCTCCCTGAGGCTCAGAATGAGAGAGAGAGAGAATGGGGGGGGGGAACACCCTGCGTACAGCTGTGTACAGATGTGCAGCTGCGGGGTCCAATCTCAGCTCAGCCCCGGAAGCTGGGCTATTCACCACCCTGCTGGGTACTTAGGTTTAGGGCCCAGACAGAAAGGCACCCCAGGCCGCAGCCCCGTGGGGCGGGCGCGTGGGTGCTGAGCTGAGCCGGGCTGGGCCCAGAGGAACACAGGGCAGGGTGGCTTTGTGCCCATGGGAGGCATCTAAAAAGCAAGGGCTGTGGCCGTGGGGACCCCGGGGAGAGAGGACGTTGGTCAGCACCCGCGATTCCCAAGGGCTTGGGCACATGGGCTATTTGGGGGGGGGAGGTTCAGGGGCAGAAAATGCTCCTCTGAACCTTGCCGACATTGGAGGATCCCCCCACTGCACCCCAACAGCCTAAGCCCCGCAGATTCCCAAATCTCTAGTCAGAGCAAGCCCACGGCCATTACCCGCCCCTGCTTTTCCCTGTGGGGTGCTCTGCCACCTGGGTCGCAGCCGGGCCTCCCACAACCTCCCTGCCCCCACTCCAGAACCCCTGGGGGGCGCTTGCCTTCCTGAATGTTCTCATCCCCTCCCTGGCCCATACCTCCTTCTTGCTGTCCACCGTTTATTGATTCTGTTTCCGTCTTCTGATTGCTGTGCCTCCCCCACTGGTTTATCTTTTCTGTGTTTTCTGGCCTCCCCTACCCGTCTTCTGTCTGTCTGTCTGTCTGTCTGTCTGTGCCTCTCTCCTCCTTCCCCTCAGCTCTCAGCAGTATAGCAGCCCCCACCCCCTTACCTGTGGACGTGGGGTTTCCTACTGGAGGACAGGCGCGTGCTGTGGGTGCCTAGGGGCCGACCCCCCATTTTATAAGCTGGCAGGCTCCGGGCCCTCTCATCTGTAGCACAAAGGGGCAGCTGGCTCAGCAGCCCGCACAGGGGCCCTGGGCCTGGCCCCGCTCGGCTACTGCACAGAGCAGCGATTTCCATTGTGAGCCTGAGAGCTTGCCTCAAAGCTCTGGCCCGCAGCCCTTCACCTCCCGACCTGCAAACCCCTCTCTCCATCACCTCGGCTGCCCAGGACAGGGCCGGGTCCAGGCCCAGGTCCCTGCGGGCAGCTGGGTAGGGGAGGGGGGGGGGTGTGGGCAGGGAGAAGAGGCCCTGGAGAAAGGAAGGCCGGGCACCTGGGTTGGAATCCTGGCCGGGGCACCTTGAGTTGTGTGGCTTTGAGAGGCGGCACCGTATGTGCAGCGGAGCCGGGGAGAGGCTGGGGAAGGCCTGTTGGGGTCCCTGTCCTCCGCACTTCCTGTCTGCTTGGTGTCCGCAGTGCTCTTTCTGTGGCATCTCTGCTCCCCGACACACACACACACCTGGCCCCAGGACAAGCTGCTTTGCTTTGTATCTTGTGTGTACCCATTTCACGGATGAGGAGGGCGAGGGCTGGTGCAGGCCGGCGGGCAGGAGGGGCCTGTGTGCTGCATTCTCACCATGCCTGACCTTCGCCTGGACCCAAGACCCAGGGAGAAGGCCGCGGGCCGGGCTAGCATGCGCTCAGAGGGCTTGAACAGTCAGGACTCTGGGGCAGGCACCCCGTCCTTTCCTGATCTGTCTGTCCCCTGCCTCCAGTCCTGTTATCTCAGAGCTGCCCTTGGCCAAGGCCACACTCAGTGTCCCCATCGCCCCTGACCCCCACAGCTGGCCCAGGACTCTGGCCCGAGCGGGCTCCTCCTGTCTGCCCACTGGATCATACCAGAGGGGGTGGGCAGGGAGAGATGGGGGAGGCGAAGAGCAAGAGAAAGGAAGGGGACAGAAGGCCGCGAAGGAGACGGACAAGAAGACAGAGAGAGGTTGAGGCAGGATGAGGAAGATCAGAATGATGGAGAGACACCAGATGGTCCAAAATGGGGAAACTGAGGCCCGGTGGAGTGGCCGGAGGTTGCCTAGGGGCACGTGCAATGTCCCATGGCTCCTGTCACTCCCTTTGTGTGTGTGTGTGGGGGGGGTGACAGGCTCTGCCTTGTGGTCACCCTGGCCTGGGGCCAGCGCTGCCCCCTCCCCCCTGCCCCCAGCCCTCCTCCTCCTTCCCCGGCCTCCCCTCTGCCTTTCATCCCCAGCCAACACCAGGGAAGGCAAAGCGGCAGCCACAGAATGGAGGCGCCCACTGGAACCCTGGGCCCAGAGCCGTGGTGCAGCCATCTACAGATCTCAGCTTCCAGGCCAGGAGTCGGGGGGGGGGGGGGCTGTTCCACGGCCCCCTGGGGCACTGCGCTGGCTGCCCAAAGGTGGGAGCAGAGGATGGAGAGAGGGGTCTGGACGGGTCCTCTCTTCCCACCCTCTGAGGTTCTACCTCCCCACCCCCACTCACCTCATTCACAGGTGAGAGGCTGAGGTTGCTCCTCTTGGCCCCTCCCAGCTTCATTAACCACCTGCCTATGGAATCAGGGCTCAGGGCATTGTACTACCTGCATCCAAGCTCTCAAAAGCCAAGTTCCCTCATTCTTGATGTGTACTTAATTTAGCTTGCTGGTGCTAGGATTGGAATTCAGGGCCTCAAGCTCACTGAGGTTTTCTTGCTCACAGCTGCGGGTGCTCGACCACTTGAACCAGGCCTCCAGCCTGACTTTTATTTTTTGCCGGTCATTTTGGAGATAAAGAGTCCCGAGAACTTTTCTTCCCCGTGCTGGCTTTGAATCATGATCCTCTCGAGCTCAGCCTCTTGAGTAGCTAGGACTGCAGGCATGAGCCACTGGCGCCCAGTTCACGCCTTTAAAGGTTCTGAGTCACCTGTCCCATGGAGCACAAGCCCGCCCCGGAAGGACCCCGTGCTCCCAGCTGGGCCCGGGGCAGGCTGGCCTGAGCCTCACCCCCAGGGACCCGACTCTCACATCTCGGATGCAAGATGCACACGCTCCCCTTCACAAAGCACCTGCTCAGCCCACAGCCCCAGAGCGGCCGGGATACATCTTCAGCTTCTGTGAACTCCCTAGTCCACTTTTCCTGCAGGACCCCCAACTCCAGCCCAGTTAGATGACTAGCTCTGCCTTTTGTACTTGTACCTTCAGTTCCTCGCTCTGAACTTTGCTTTGCACGGCCCCTCCTTCCACCCCTTTCTATACCCTTCCCTCCATTGGGGGTGGGGTGGGGGGAGGTCTAGTTGAACCAGGCCTCCACCAGGTAGCCCGCCCTGATTGCTTCTGTCTTGGAAGATTTTTGAAGGGCGGAGGAACAGACAATTGTTCAATGTTGATTCTGTGCAGGGACCAGATAGCCTGTGATGTGGCTTCTCCTTTGGGGGATGCTAAGAGGGACTTCCTCTTTTGCTTGGGTTGAGTGTCTTGGAGCACCCAGGAAGTCCATCTTCCATCTGCTACTTTGCTGGGGCTGGTCCTGGGCAGGTGACCAGCACCGCTGTCCCTCCCAGCTCCAGCCAGGGACTGCTGCTGACAAGTTGGCCCTGGGGCTGGGCCAGTGCTGGGCTTTGCATCTGCCCTCACTTGCTGAATCGGGGCTTTGTCTTAGGGGCCCCTGTCCCCTCCGTGCCTATAAAAGCTCGGCCTTCGCTGGTTCCGGGTCTGACATGTTCCCGGGGCTCAGTTCGGTAAGTCTGGCTGCACATGGGGCGGGAGCAGGAGTTCTCAGTAAACTTCCCTGGTCGGTGGGGTGCCCAGCGCCCCCAGACCCCCAAAGCCTGAGGAATCTCAACCTTATCCTAACCAAACACCCAGCATGGCCCCCCAAGACCCTCACCCAAATGCAGATTCACGTCTGTCGTTGTGCGGCTGGGTGAGCGGGGAGGGGGGGCGGCTGGGGGCTAGAAGGACTGGCACATCCACCCAGTGATGCCCCCATACTGAACAGCGCCACAAACACGCACCACAGACAGGTCAAAGCACACAGAGCCAGGCTCTGCCGTTATGGGGAGCCAGGATGGGTAGAGGTGGAGACGGAGCCAAGGTGGCCGGGATCGCAGGTAGAGAGGACGGGACAGGGACAGCCCCACGGCTCTGGGACCCCCCCCCCCAAGATGGATCTTGAACCCTGCCCAAAGCAGCTTGAGAAGGAAGTGGAAGAGGCAGGCAGGGAATGACAGCGAGCTCTCCTCCTGTGCAGGACTCCCACAGCATGGCCCTGCAGTGCACCAAGTCCGCGGGACACTGGAAGGTAGGAGGGGAGGCGGGAAGGAGGGACGTGGGGGAGGGTGCAGGTCACGCTGAGTCCTGAGGACTGCCCCCCCTCCGCTTCTCAGCTCCATCCCATCGTGCGCTCACCTCACCCCTGGGGGGAGGGCCACCAAGGCACAGGCTGGGGAAGGCAACCGGACGCACACACACCGAGCCTGGATTTGAACTTGGGTCTTCAAGTTCCCACACTGGAACGATTATGCTCTCTAGCAGAGACAGTGGCAGTCTTTTGGTCTCGTTTCCATACCTATGTCTTTAAGTAAAGTAATAATAATAAAATAATAGAAAACAAATTAGAATTTGTCAACGGCCTTCCAAAACCTAGAGGAACCACATGGAAGTCAGTGCAGGGCCTGGCGCCAAGGGCTCACACCTGTCATCATAGCTTCTCAAGAGGCTGAGATCTGGGGATCCAAGTTCAAAGCCAGCCCAGGCAGAAAAGTCCATCTTATCTCCAGAAACTTGGGGGTGGCACTGTGACTCAAGTAGTAGAGCCCTAGCCTTGAGCTGAAGAGCTCAGACGCAGCAGCGCCCAGGCCCTGAGTTCAAGCCCAAAGTGTGGGGATATCAAGATTGGGGAGCTGTTCCACTGGGCAAGGCTCGCCTCCGGCCCTTCCCCCCGGCCTGCCTCCCTCGCCACACAGGGCTCTGATGTGGGGCCCCGCCTTTCTCCCCGCAGATGGTGGTGTGGGATGAGGAGGGCTTCCAGGGCCGGCGCCATGACTTCACCAGCGAGTGTCCCAGCGTGCTGGAGCTGGGCTTTGAGACCGTGCGCTCCTTGAAAGTCCTGAGCGGAGCGTGAGTCTGGGTTGGGGCGGTGGGGGGAGGGGGCGAGGCACGGAGTCAGGTGGGCGTTGGGAAGGACAAGACGAGACCTGGAGGGAGGCTGGGAGGGTTAGATGTCCTCAGCCTTATCTTCCCAGGCTCTAACGGGACCCCAGAGTCCTCCAGAAGCATGGAGGACTGCGCAGGATCACCCTGGAAGGCTGCTCAGGTGGTTCACTGCACACCGTAAGGAGTGCTCCTCGCACAGTCCTGGCCCAGTGGACCAGGCAGCCTGTGGAGGGAGGGGAGGTCCCAAGGACCTTCATAGAGACTGCCTGAAAGCCAACATCACTTGCCAAAAGGAGAAGGGGAGTATAAGGAAGTAGTAAAAATGTGATTCATGTTTAGTATATTCATGATCTCTTACATGTGTGTGTACGTGTGTGTGTGTGTGTGTGTGTGTGTGTGTGGAGAGAAAGAGTGGGAAAGGGAAAAAGAGGAAGAAGAGGATAAAGGAGGAGACATCTGTTGGTAACTAGATGGATGGTAAGTGATAGAAAGATGGATGGTTATGGATTGATAGGTGAATGGATGGGTAGGTAGGAAAACAAAGAAAGATAAATAGGGGGATGATAGATGGTTAGACAGGAAATCCATAGATAGATGATCGATAGGTAGACAGGTTAAAAAAAGAAAGACAGAAAGAAGGATGGATAGGTGGATAGGTGGGTAGGTAGATAAATGATTGATGGATGGTGGATAGATGGACAGATAAGTAGGTAGATAGATAGATGATACATACATACATACATAGGTAGATAAGAGATAGGGGGTAGATAGCAAGTGATGGGTGGGTAATGGTAATAGGTAGAAGGATGGACGGGTGGGTGGATGGATGGACTGGTGGGTAGGTGGATGGATGGGTGGATATATGGTGGATGGATGGGTGGATGGATATGGGTATATGGATGGTGTATGGATGGTGTATGGATGGATGGGTGGATAGATGGATGGTGTATGGATGGTGGATGGATGGGTGGATAGATGGATGGATGGTGGATGGATGGATGGTGGATGGATGGTGGATGGATGGGTGGATGAATGATGGAGGGATGGTCGATGGTTGGTGGATGGATGACGGATAGATGGATGGTGGATGGATGGTGGATGGATGACGGATAGATGGATGGTGGATGGATGGTGGATGGATGACGGATAGATAGATGATGGATGGATGGTGGATGGATGACGGATAGATGGATGGTGGATGGATGGATAGTGGATGGGTGGTAGATGGATGGTGGATGGATGGATGGATGAGTGAATGGATGGTGGATGGATGATGGATAGATGGATGGATGGATAGTGGATGGGTGGTAGATGGACAGTGGATGGATAGATGGATGGTGGATGGATGGTGGATGGATGGATGGTGGATGGATGAGTGGATGGATGGTGGATGGATAATGGATAGATGGATAGTGGATGGATGGATAGTGGATGGGTAGCAGATGGATGGTGGATGGATAGATGGATGGTGGATGGATGGATAGTGGATGGGTGGTAGATGGATGGTGGATGGATGGATGGATGAGTGGATGGATAATGGATAGATGGATAGTGGATGGATGGATAGTGGATGGGTAGTAGATGGATGGTGGATGGATAGATGGATGGTGGATGGATGGATAGTGGATGGGTGGTAGATGGATGGTGGATGGATGGATGGATGAGTGGATGGATAATGGATAGATGGATAGTGGATGGATGGATAGTGGATGGGTAGCAGATGGATAGTGGATGGATAGATGGATGGTGGATGGATGGATAGTGGATGGATGGTAGATGGATGGTGGATGGATGGATGGATGAGTGGATGGATGGTGGATGGATGAGTGGATGAATGGATGGATGGATGGTGGATGGGTAGATGGATGGATGGTGGATGGATGGATGAGTGGATGGATGGATGGTGGATGGACGGTGGATGGATGGTGGATGGGTAGGTAGATGGATGGTGGATGGATGGGTGGATGGATGGTGGATGGATGGATGGATGGTGGGTGGATGATTGACTGACTGAGAGCTATCAGGCGACAGTGGCAGGGCACAGGGATTGGGGACCAGTGCTGGCCAGCAGAATGCAGCAGAGGGGCTGGTCACCCTTTCCTTGGTAACGGAACATCTGTTTCATGCATCTCAGTCACCGGCCACTTACGGCCCTGCAGGATGTGAAGTGTGGACAGGATGGTTAACAAGAGTGAAGTAGTGACGGCAGATAATCTTAGTTTATTTAAGTTCCAATTACATCGGTGGCCTGCAGCCAGTGGTTATCCTATTGCACTGAAAGTTCCAGAAGGTTAGAAGAAAATCACCAGAAGAGCAATGCTGACCAGACGCATTGCAGAGTCCATGGCACCCCCCCCCACACCCAGGACCCCAAAGGGCCAAGGACTCAGGTGAGGTCTTTCTCCCCCTCCCCCCTCCCCGTGTACAGGTGGGTGGGCTTCGAGCACGCAGGCTTCCAGGGTCAGCAGTATGTTCTGGAGCGTGGCGAGTACCCGTGCTGGGATGCCTGGAGCGGCAACACGGCCTACCCCAGCGACAGGCTCTCCTCCTTCCGGCCCGTGGCCTGCGCCGTGAGTCCCCGCCCACCTGACCCTCCCCTCCCTACCCAGCTGTGTGTCCCTCTCCCAGGGACTTGGAGGGGGGGCGCAGGGGGAGGGGCTAGGGAGGGGACAGGAGACATCTTGAGGGAGGTGGGCGTTCCCACCCCCTCTTGCAGGTCCAAGGCTGAGGCTCACAAAGGCAGATTCCTTTTCATTTTCTTTCTGCATTTCTCACGCGCCATTCCAGGGGAGATACTCTGATAGGACAGAGCAGAAAATACAAGTCCATAGTAAGGGCACCTCCAAGATGAAACCCCTGCGCCCCTCTCTAGTAACCCTGGAAAAGCGCCCAGGCCTTGAGTTCAAGGCCCAGGATGACAGCAACAACAACAGGAAATGGAATCAGAGGAGCAGGAATGGAGCTGAGCAGGGGGGCACTTGCTTAGCAAGTGTGAGGCCTTAGGTTCAAACCACAACATCTCTGTCTCTCTCTTTCTCTCTGTCTCTCTATCTCTTGTCTCTCTGTCTGTCTCTGTCTCTGTCTCTCTCTCTCTCTCTCTCTCACACACACACACACACACACATACACAATCATAATAAACCCAAGGCTTGGAACTCAGCTTCTGTCACTGGGAAAGCACCCTGCCATCATCCTTCCAGATGCTGACATCACATACATCTACTTTATTCATAGCTCCCTAGTATTCCACAGAGGCAGATAAACCTGTTTGTTTGCTCCATAAATGGCCAGGACATTTCTCTTTGTTCCTGTGATGTCACAAGAGCATGCTTCTAGCCTGTTTCTCCCACGATTATTTTCTGCGTGGCTGTTGTGGAAGGCAGGTTGTCACAGGTTGTAGCGCCTGCCACAAAGGGTTTTCAGACTGCTGAGGCTTGGGGGTGGCTCGGGGCAAGGCACCGGACAGCCTGAGTCTTTTCTCTTGGACACAGAACCACCGTGACTCCAGGCTGACCATCTTTGAGCAGGAGAACTTCCTGGGCAGGAAAGGCGAGCTGAGCGATGATTACCCCTCCCTGCAGGCCATGGGATGGGACGGCAACGAAGTGGGCTCCTTCCACGTCCACTCTGGGGCGTAAGTGGACAGGGCTTTGCCTGGCAGGGCAAAGGGAGGGTTGAGAGGGGCAGGGCGTTTGTCCTGGGGGGGAGGGGAGGACTGGTGGGGGATTTAGAGCCACCAGGCAGAGCGTATGTGATTGCCATTAATCAGACCAAGCCAGTTTAAGGCCAGAGGAAATGGATCGATCCCTGTAATCAGCTGCAGGTACAGCTGGGTCCAGGTGCTGTATTGGGATCTGCCTCTCTCCTCTTTCTGTGGGGTGGCAAACACGGCAGCTTCCTCTTTACATTCCTGCCCCATAAAGAAGATTTTACCAACAAGATGCCGGTGACCCTGCCATTTTAGCTGCTCAGGAGGCTGAGATGAGAGGATTGGGGTTGGAAGCCAGCCGGGGCAGGAGAGTCCACAAGACTTCATCTCCAATGATCCACCAAAGGCCTGAAGGAGAGCTGTGGCTCAAATGGTAGAGCACCAGCCTTGAGCTCCAGCCTGAGGGCCGGTGTGTACATGTGTGCGTGCACACTCACAACCCCCCCCCCCCCCACACACACACAGCCTTTTGATTGGGCCAAGCTCGGTTGCATGCTCTATTCTGAGCCAATCACCAACACCCACAGGAACACAGCGCTGTGATTGGCTAGGCCTGGCCACTCACTCACTGCCAGTCAGCTTGTGTAAGAGAGCGTGTGCTGCTCCCCACACCTTCCCAGGTGGCCTTGGGCTCCTGGAGGTCAGAGGTGAAGATGGGAGGTAAGGTTTTCGCTTGAGTTCTCTCCATTTCAGAGTACCACGGTCCTCAGGACTGCTGAGTCCAGCTTTCCCTGTTTTTTTTTTTTGGCTCAAGGCTGGCGCTTGACCGCTTGAGCCAGTTGAGCTCCATGGATATAGCTTCTTCAGGTTAATTTGGAGATGAGACTCTCCTGCTCAGGCTGGCTCTGAACTGGATCCTCCACTCTCAGCCTCCTGAGCTGCTAGGATGGCAGGCGTGAGCCACCCGTGCCCGGCCAGCCTTTCTCTTCTACAGAAGAGGAAATAGAGGCTCAGTAAAAACCTAGAGGCCACCGACAGGAAGCCTCGGATGGGAGGGAGGGACAGGTGCAACACACACCGGCCCAAGGAATGGCACGAGCAAAGGCACTGTGGCAGGGAATCAGGAGGCGAGGCCCAGCTGGCCTGTGTGTCTGTCTGTCCATCCGTCGCTTCCCCTTCCTTTTCCAGCTGGGTCTGCTCCCAGTTCCCGGGCTACCGGGGTTTCCAGTACGTGCTGGAGAGCGACCACCACTCGGGTGACTACAAGCACTTCCGGGAGTGGGGCACCCACGCCCAGAGCTTCCAGGTGCAGAGCGTCCGCAGGATCCAGCAGTGAGCATGCGCGGGGGGGGGGGGGGGGCGAAGGAGCGCATGCGCAGCGCGGGTCTGGAGCCTGCGGTGGCTCTCCCTGCCCCCCCCCCTGCCAGCCCCGGGAGCCCAGCGCCCTGCCAGCCAGCCCGCGCATGCGCAGTCAGCTCAGCAGCCCAGAGCCCTCCCCCTCCTACTACCACTAATGATAGTAATAAGAATAATAAAAGCAGGCCCACTATTAACTGTGCCTTTCCTTTCTTTAAAAAACAAACGAACAAGGTAAAGAGCTTTATTCATCTTTATTTCAAACTGTATGCCTGGGCTTCTCAACCGGGTCAGCTGCCCAGAGTGAACTAACTGTACATGAATGAGCACGAAGTGACAAGGCGGTGGGCATGGGGGCTGAGACCTGAGAAAGACAAAACAAAACCTAGGCAACGCTGATCTCCAGTAAGACGGCCAAAAGCTGGACGTGGCGTGTGGCTCCAGGGGTAGAGCACCAGCCTTTGAGTGGAAAAGCCCCAGTCCCTGAAGGGTTCAGAAAGTAGGCCCTCACACTTTAGTATGAGTAAGCATGTCCATTCCGATTTACCACAGGAAAGCCTCAGATCCCTGGAGGCAAAGTCAGGAGGATTTTGAGGAAGGAAGGAAGGAAGGAAAGAAGGAAGGAAAGAAGGAAGGAAGGAAGGAAGGAAGGCAGGCAGGCAGGCAGGCAGGCAAAGAGAGAGGGAGGGAAGGAGGGTCTCCTTAATTTGATGGTGACTTCTGTGAGGAGCCAGCCCATCCGGAGCCAAGGGCTAGGCTGGCAAGCGTGACAGACAGACAGACAGGGCCCCAGAGGTGACAGGCTGCTAGAATGACGGGTAATAAGGAGACAATTTGTCGGGGTGATCTTGGGATAGAAGGAAGGTGAGTGAGATTATTTTTCCTACCTTGCGAGGAGACCTTTTTCCCTAGGTTATCAAGGAAAGGCGTGTAAGTGTCTTGGTGGCATTCCGTCCACTTGTTGGCAAGCCTGGCGCTTCATCAAGGGGAACTGACCCCCCCCCCAAGGCTCAGGACAGGGGACCCAAACCAGTAAAGAGGGGGAAGCAATTCCCTGGAGACCACACAGCCAGCGCGGCCCACACTGAAGTTCCCTTCCTGTGCCCACCAGAGGGGAGCCTCTGCCCCCTGGCCTCCCTCTCCCCTCCCATAAGGGGGGAACACCCCCCCATCTTGCTTCTTCCTCTCGCCCCCCCATGCACACCATCATCGCTAGATTGGCTTTTCTTCCTGTGTAGTGTCTACAGCATTCCCCAGGCACCAAGGAGCAAAGACATGGGCCCAAGACTATGGTGGGAGCAATCAGAGAGAAAGGAAGGAGAGCGGGGAGAAAGGAAAGGTGAAGATCTCACACAGCTCTGGGGTGTAGGAGACAGAGGGAGAGGAGGAGGAGGAAGAGGAGAAGGAGACAGAGAGAGACACACACAGAGACAGAGAGGAGAAAAAGGAGGGAGAAAGAGAGAAGGAGGAAGAAAAATAGGAAGAAGGAGAGGAGGGGGAGGAGAAGGGAAGGGGAGGGAGGAGAGGAAGAGGACAGGAGCCAGCCTCTCTTGCACGTCGCCCAGAGCAGGGAGGCTGGTCTTTCCTGGCTGGGAGCACGGTGATCATGGAGGGCAGGGGGCAAGGCGCTGGGCCAGGCTCGTGGGCATCCTTATCTTGAGAAACCAGCAGCATGGTGTGTGTGTGTAGGGGGGAGCTGCCCCCCAGGACAAGGCCGGAGGAAGGGAGGAGGGTCCCCACTCCTCCTTGAGGCTCCGGATGGAGACTCCACCCCTAACCTCCTTCCTGGGGCCTCCATTTGCCCAGCTGTGATGAGCAGATGAGTGGAGGCCCAGAGGCCTCCCTTCCTGCTGCCAGCTGAGGGTTTGGGTGGGGTGTGTGTGGGGTGGCTATAGGTGAGGAGGCCCAGAGCTGTTTTGATCTCTATCACCTCCAGCAGCTTGGGGAGGGGAGCCATGCCTTTCCCAGCATGCCCTGCCTCCCTCTGTGTGAAGTGTAGAACTTAAGACCCTGGGCTGCCCAGAAAAGGCCACCGTGAGCAGGGGTGAGCACTGGACAGCCATGGGCCAGGCAGAGACTCTTCTGGAATGCAGCTTGGCCCAAGGGGCCCCTTGCTGGGGCTCCCTGTTTACCCCAAAACCAGCTTGTCAAATCAAACTCCTGTAGGGACAGCAGAGGACAGACAGAGAGAGACAGAGAAAGAAACAGACAGACACACAAACACACAGACACACACACACAGATTCTTTTTTTTTTTTTTTTTTTGGGTCCGGTCGTGGGGCCTGAACTCTGGGCCTGGGCGCTGTCCCTCAGCTCTTCAGCTCAAGGCTAGTGCTCTACCACTTGAGCCACAGTGCCACTTCCAGCTTTTTTCTTTTTGCTTATGTGGTGCTGAGGAATCAAACCCAGGGCCTCAGGCATGCAAGGCAAGCGCTCTACCACTGAGCCACCTTCCCAGCCCCCACACACAGATTCTTAACACATGAGCCCAAACACCCATCCTGGCCTTTTGTTTTTCTCTTGACATTTAAAGCCAGAAGCAGGCTGGACTCCCCTAAACCCACTGTAAGAAACAATACAAGGAGTTGGCAGCCGGGCTTGGAGGTGCATGCATGTAATCACAGCCCATTCATGGACGTGCTGTCTATGCTCAGGGCGGGTCTTCCTGTCATTTGCTCTCCCACACGTCAATCATCTGTGGACCCTTTCAGGCATACCCACATGGGTGCTTTGCTAATTTCCCTAGAAGTCTCTCAATCCAGTCCTGTTCACCATAAAAATCAATCATCACCACCTGATGGCCCTGGGTCTGAGTCTCCACTGTCCTTCTCCAACTGGCCTCTGTTTTCTTCCATAGTGACGCTCTCTTAGCTCAGATGAGGAGACTGAGGCTGGATGATTAGGGACCATAAACTCAATTAATTCTACAAGACATCCGATGCTCCCGAGACCTGCCCTGCACTGACCCCTAGTGGCCAGAAGCAAGCACACACCCACCCTGGCCAGGCAGAAGATTGCAGTCTTGGCCTCCGGCCTTGGGTGCTAGGAGATGGGGTATAGTGCAGACTGCAGGCAGAGTTGGCACTTGGAATCTGGAGTGAGCCGAGTCCTGCTCTGCTTCTGTATCGGCTACATCCCAGGCTCTAGGCACCTAGCTGTTTTCCCTCGGCTGACTAGCGACACCGGAGACAAACCACATTCCCTCTTTGCTGTGGTTGCCAGGATGCTCAGAACCAGCAGGCTCTCCAGCAACTGTGTAGAATGGACAGGGGTTAGGAAAAGGATCTCATCTTGGAATGTCTAATTCTGTGTTCTTTTCTCTGGGTCTCATTATCTGTCTTGTGTTTTCTTTACTGGCTATATTGAAAAGAAAAAAAAGTTCCAGTGCTGGGGATTGAACCGAGAGCTTCATTGAGGGCTTTGGACCAGAGTCCTACCACAGAGCTACCTCTTCAGCCCCAGAGCATCTTTGTAGTGCCTTAAGTCTCTTTTTTTGGAGGGGGTGTGGAGGGCGTGGAGGGAGAGAGTGGGGAGGGTCTTGCTTTCCTCCCTCAGGAACAAACTCAGGAGGAAGGAGAAGAGTTTTGTAGCAGAGTTCTTGCAGAGTTTCGTAGCCTTCCGTTGCTTCTAGTGTCCACCCTCCTCCTGCCTCCTTGTCCTCCTGGGCTCTCTGCAGTCTGCCTGGGGCAGGCCAGCATGCACAGGGCACCAGGAAGCCCACGACTGTCCCTAACCTCTGTCCTGCAGGCCCAGTCCCCCTCCCCCACTCCCCCGCTCTGGGCACCGCTGTCAACATACAATGTGCTCCTGCTGCTGGGCTGGGACAGCCAAGGAGGGACAGGGGGCAGGAACTGCTGGGCCATGGGGGGAGGTCAGGTGGGAGGGGCCGGAGCTCTGGGAGGCCAGGATCAAGCCGGGACCCATCCAGCTGCATCTTGGCTTTAGATCCCTGCTAACAAGGGACAGGTAGGGTTGACCCAGGTTGACAAGAGCAGGTGTGTGGAGCGAGACTACAAAAAATAGGCATCATCATGGTGCACAAGCCAGACCCATGGGTGTGTGTGGGGTGTGAGAATGTATTTCTGTGGAGGCCTGAAGTATTCCTTTGGCTTCTGAAGGAGAGAGTGGCATGGTAGGGCATGCCTGTAATCCCATCTACATGGGAAGCACAGATTGGCGGGATCATGGTTCCAGGACAGCCTGGGTAGGGAAAGTTAACAAGTCTTCCATCTCAATCAAGAGGCTAGGCATGGGGAGACACCCTGGTAATTCCAACTACGCAAGCAGCAGAGGTATGAGGATTTGGGTGGGAGGCTGGGCTGGACATACACGCAAGACTTTATCTGTAAAGTAAATAAATAAGTAAAGAAACTAAGGCAAAAAAAGAGCTGATGGCATGGACCACCGGCAGAGCGCCTGCCTAGCACAGGGCATTGAGCTCGAATCCCAGTACTACCGGAGAGAGAAAAGGGAGACGTCTCCCAGGGTTAGGACTTCAAGACGTTGTAAACCTCAAGGCTGGTCACTGTCTTGACTAGCATCCACGAGGCCTCTCCTGTGGCAGAGGGCCTTGTGCTACACGGGGGTGTGTGTGGGACTCAGGTAGGTGTGTGCACGTGTTTGTGTGTCTACACATGCACACACACACACTCAGGCATGCACACACACACACACACACAGCAGGTGAGCATCGACATCAGCCAGGATGGGCAGAGCCTGCCCACCCCAGAGGTGTGTGCCCAGGGGAGCCACTTCCTCCGGACCCCTGGCCCCAGACACCAGATGATCCTGGGCCAGTGTAGCTGGGCAAGGGACTGAGCAGAGGCCTGATGGGGGAGGGTAAAGCTCTGAGGCTGGTGGGACTGGGGACCGGAGGTGGGGTGGGTAGCTGTGTGTGTGGAGCTACAATGAGGTCAGCCTTGTGTTTCTAGAACCTTCTAGAACCTTCTGGCTTTACAAGGGAAACACATTAGGGGATGC